GCGCCGTTACCTAGGTCTCCTTTCAAAAGATCACAGTGATTCATAATTTGAACTGTTTTAAGCTGCACTTAAAGTGCGTACCAAATCTTGCTGGGATGTGTCGGCGTTTTCTTCCAGATCCGTGTCAATTTTATTCGTTTCGTTATCCGTACCCCCAACAGCAGTACCTAAAATCACTACTGATTGCTGCACTGATGCGTCAGTTAGTATAAAAAGCATCGCTGCTAAATCACGGCACACGACGTTTGTACACATTCGCTGAAGAATTACTTATTGAGTCAAAGTAAAATTATGAATATTATTCAAGGAGTAGTTATCAGCTAGTTTTTTATTGAACACACCGAAGAAAACAAACGAAAAATATCGTGTGTTATAAAGCACGCTTGTTTTCAGATCAATTTTCAGATCTCAAAGTTTTCGTTTGAAAAACACCCAAGTTCAAAGTCTGAGTTTGTTCCTAACCCCTAAAAGCATATTTTTAGAGCAAAAAACCCGTTTAGATGGTTTTTTTCTCCACAGAAGACGTTTGCTCGTTTCGTTTAAAGTTCACTAATCTAGGCTGCTTGTCGCAGCTGTATAACTGTCTGTTTCGTAACATCCGACTGAGAGACTATCTTGTCGACCGATTAGTACTCTACTAGGAAGCTTACATGAGAATCAATTTATTTACCATCAGATGCCTCTTCCCTCTTGTTGCTTTCCTCCAAATGCTTCATTAATACAGCGACCACAACATTCACCAGAACAAACTGCGAGATCAGTACAAAAATAATGAAAAAACATGGCGCCAGTATTGGATCGACACAACAGTTCGATTCACATCGGTCGGATGGGTCACAGTCATCACGCAATGCGTCCTGAAACCACTCACGTAAATATCATTTCAGATCCATTTTCCCCCCTAGACAATGCAAGATTTAACAAAAAGCAGCACATTTCAAGGAGAAGAAAATAGTACCACTTGCAGACTTTACTGGAACTCAGGGATATCGTCCTGACTATCTTCACTGTAATACTAAGCTTCCCGAACCAGAAAAAAGCTATGAAACTCATCCTTAACACGTAATGGCTCACATACTAGACCCGAATTTACATGTTTCTTATTTCTGATAAATGAAACTGAGCAAAGAAGGACGTTTGCTGGTTCCACGACGCGCGCTGCTCCTTGTCTGGTTTTCTGACTAATTCCAAATTTTTGGGCTTAAATTTACAGCAAAATGTGGTCTTTATTCCTTGAAATCAGTTTCAAAACTTCGCTATATCTCGACTTACGACCTGAGATTTAAATCCTGACTAATTTTATCGAAAACTTAAAAAGTTGCGCACTGAAGTAGAGGAAGAGGAAGACTGCGGGGAAGAAGGTTAATTCACCGAAGATAGGCAAACAGCCTGAAATCAGTTCGCCAACTTACAGTATTTGAACTTTTGATCTCATGTCAGTATTTAAGCTAACTTTATATTTCAAAACGAACACACTGCAAAGTCAGAATTTCGGATTTTTTGCGAGAAGGTGCTAACCAAATCTGCTGGAGATCAAATTTCAAACTGTTTCAAAAACTACGACATGTGGTTTGAATAATAAATTTTTTTCAGAAAGAGGACAGCTGTAGACCCAAAATTTCGGGCTTGTAAATCAATTGATAAGAGAAAAGGCGGGAAACGTGACAGAAAATTTGGAAAAATGAATTGTTTATTGTGGTTTCACAATCTGCAAGAAAAGCGGCCAACTTTCATAATTCCATTCCAGTTATCGCCGGTGGCTATTCGAAACAGTGTAAGGAATGCCATGCCAAAATTTTTGAAATGCGCATGCTCGCCCAGACCATCACACGGATGTTCGTCTGAACACTCTGAAACTTCACTAAGTTCTCTTTTTTTTCTAAATACAAGTTAATGGGTTGAAATTCTCATTTTTATGCGTTTCTGCATATATGCAAATGCGAAAACGCATACTGTGACGACCCCGATGTGTGTATGTGTATGTGTCTGTCTGTCTGTCCGGGTATTTCAACTCGGCGCCCAAGCAAGCTCCGGCGCCAAAATATCGCCAGTGGGTTCCCCGACCAAATACCACCCCAGAACCCCGGTACCGTCCTTCACGCAGGTCTAAGCCCCGCGTACGAGCCCCTCAAAGTTTTGGCGAAAAATTGCTAACTCGCGAGCAAGAAAAAAGCTGAAACTTTGCAGTTATGTTCCCCGTCCACATAGAACACAAAGATTTCAGATTCTGCCTCCAGGCATGCGTGG